ACTGCTCAGTGATTTTCTTTGTGATTTTTTAAAATTTATTTGACAGTGAGAGAGACAGAGAGAAAGGTCTTCCTTTTTTCCGTTGGTTCACCCCCAAAATGGCTGCTACGGCCGGCGTGTTGTGCCGATCCGAAGCCAGGAGCCAGGTGCTTCTCCTGGTCTCCCATGGGGTGCAGGGCCCAAGCACTTGGGCCATCCTCCACTGCCCTCCCGGGCCACAGCAGAGAGCTGGCCTGGAAGAGGAGTAACCGGGACTAGAACCCGGTGCCCATATGGGATGCTGGCGCCTCAGGCGGAGGATTAACCAAGTGAGCCATGGCACTAGCCCCTTCTTTGTGATTTTTAGGGTCGCGTTTGGTATTCAGGTTCTGCTGGCCTTAAAATAGAGAAAAAATTTCCCCTGTATTCTCCAAGAGTTTTTGTAACATTGATGTTATTTCTTTCTAATGTGGTTTAGCAGTGAAAGAAGCTGTGTGTGCTTAGAATTTTATCTCAAGGAAGTTTTTTTAGATAAAATAAATTTCTCTAACAGGTCTATTTAGATTTTCATCATTTTTTCTTTAAAAATTATTTATTTATTTGAAAGAGAGAGTAAGAGTGAGAGAGAGAAAGAAATATGTTCCGTGGACTGGTTCATTCCCAAATGGCCAAAATGGCTGGGGCTGGGCCAGGCCAAAGCCAGGAGTCCAGAGCTCCATTTGGGTCTCCCACATGGGTGGCAGGGGAATGAAATAATATACAACGGTGAAACTAAACAAATTATGGCTAAGCATAACAAGGAGGGTGAATCTCACAAACACAATGATGAGAAAGGAATTCAATGGTTGTATTTACATGAAGTTTAAAACCGCATAGGACTGTAGCGGTCAGGGATGTATGGTTAAGTGGTGAAACTACAGAGAAGCAAGGAGGTGATGGCTTTAGAAGTCAGGTTGGTGGTTCTCTGTGTCACGGATGTACCGCTGAGAAGAAGTAAGGGGGTCCTCTGGGGAACTGGCCATGTCGTTGGTGTTTTTTTTTTTCCAAGACTTATTTTATTTGAAAGACAGAGTTACAGAGAGAGGTAGAGCCAGAGAGAGCGCCAGAGAGAGAGAGAGAAAGAGAGGTCTTCCATCTTCGGGTTCACTCCCCAGATGGCCGCAACGGCCGGAGCTGAGCTGATCCGAAGCCAGGAGCCAGGAGCCTCTTCCGGGTCTCCCACACGGGTGCAGGGGCCCAAGCACTGGGGCCATCCTCCACTGCTTTCCCAGGCCGTAGCGGAGAGCTGGATCGGAAGAGGAGCAGCCAGGACAGGCAGCCTGTATGGGATGCCGGCGGTTCGGGCCAGGGCTTTAACCCACTGCACCACAGCGCGGCCCCTCATTTAGTTTCCTAAGCCAGTATAATTGAAAAGAAATCCTCGGAATCCCCTGTGGGTTGATGTTGGCGTTTCCCCGAGTGGGTTCCGGGAGAGGCTGGTGCTCAGAGCCCTTGCGGTGTATCCACGTTTCCCTCCGCTGGCCGTGTGTCTTCGCCATACTTTTCCTTTTTTTTTCTTCAGTTGCAGTTTTTTACTTGTGATTTTGTAAAATGCTTCTCCTGAGTGCCACTGTAGTGTTACACAATCATCTTTACTGCAGAAAGGTTGTCTTTTTTGTTTTTTAAGATTTATATATTCATTTATTTGAAGACAGAGCAACAGAGAGTGATCTTCCATTAGCTGTTTCATGCCCCATATGGCCACATTGGCTGGGCCAGGCCAAAACGCTAGGCTGGAACTACATCGGGTCTCCCACGTGGGTGACTGGGGCCAAGCACTTGGGTTGTCATCCACTGCTCTCCCAGATGAGCTGGATTGAAGTGGAGGAGCCAGAGCGTGACCTGCTGCTCTGATGTGGGATGCTGGCGTCGAAAGCAGCTGTTTAATCTGCTACGCCACAGCAACAGCCCCTGTAGAAAGGTTTTGTGTGTGTGTGTTTGTTTTTAATATTTAGTTACTTATTTGAAGGAGTTACAGAGAGAGAGATCTTCCATCCACTGGTTCACTCCCCAAATGGACACAAGCACTGGCACGGGGCCCTTCTGCAGGCAGGAGCCAGAAGCTTCTTCCTGGTCTCCCACGTGGGCGTAGGGGCCCATCATCCTCTGCCTTCCCAGGTGCATGAGCAGGGAGCCGGATCAGAAGTGGAGCAGCCAGGACTCGAACCAGCACCTATATGGGATACTGGCTTCATAGGCTGTGGATTTGCTTGCTACACCACAGCACCGCCCCCTGGAAGTTTTAAAAATACTCTGGAGCAAATCTGCTGTTAGAGGAGCCACCTGGAAACCCTCCCAGGTCAGAC